GCTCTGTGTTCGCGCACAGTCTCCACAACCTCCAGTAGTTTATGTAGCACCCTCCAAAACAGTTTTGGAGGCTGTGGATATGGGGCATCTGCTAGAGTTGCTCTTACAGACATCAAACCTATCATAAATAATATCTTGGTTTGCTGGTAAATAAAACACTAATTAATTCCTAATTAAATTCCAATAAACTAATCAAGTAAGCCTGATTGATAGATGTACAACGCGAAAGTTCTTTCTTAAACCACCTTACACAAGTGTGCTTTCCCAAGTCACATAAGGCACATTGTCATCCTGAGTAGGCCGCAGAAACACTACAAAGTGCTAATTTATCAGTTTCCAAACTTCAAATCTGAAAAGACCCATCAGATCTCCCCATGGGCCAACTAGGAGCAGATCATTTGCTTCCCAACAGCTTCGTTCTGCGGCGTCCTTGCCCTGGAAAGGAGATGCGGAAGGGCGGAGACGCCGGAGAGAATCGAACCTGGGCGATGCTGATGATGAAGTCACGAAACTTGGGGTGGACGGCGGCCTGGCTCTTGAGGCGGTTGGCGATAGGCTTGGACAGCGTCCGCAGCAGCAGCGTCCCCAGCTTCATCACCGGCAGCGCGGCCATGGCGGCGGCGGCGGCGGCGGTCCTTGGCCTCCTCCTCCTCCGCTATTCCTCCTCCCCGAATGTTGGGCGTGGGCGATCAACGGGGATGAGAGGGATTCGGTTCGACTCGGGACTCAGTGAGATTCGATTCGGGACTCAGGGTCGATTCGTGTCGATGGTGTGTGGAAAGAGAACCTGAGAAACGGAACGGAACGGGGGGAAGTAGACTTTGGTGTTGGGATTGTCTCGTTTTCCTTTGACTAATCCGCCGGCCCCATTTAGATGGTGTCTACAATTGTTCCTTGTCAAACAAGCCTACATAACTAAAACTAAAGCAAATGAATTTGGTTGACAAGTGTATTATGTTAGAACAACTCTCCAGCACCTTTCAAAAAAAGAAAAAAAAAACTCTTCAGCAGATGCATCGTATCGATCCAATCATCACAATAACCATCAGTATAATATAACGGTTTTGGCTAAAAGAAAACAGGTCTAGTAGAATTGTCATCCGCTCGACCACATAGTTTTTGAAGACGCTCCAAATCAGTCTGTGAGCCTTCATATTTGACAGTTGGGTGAGGCGATATAGTACGCCCCATCCTTAAATCTTGGCATCACGGATATTTTGGGATGCATTCTTCCTTCGACCGTCACCCACATATGATAAGGACCGGAAGTCGTGGCGAGATCCGATCTGTTATTGCGGTCCGATCTTTCACGACACTCCACCACCAATAGCAACAACCTCTCGCCCGCGCACGCGATGTACACGAAATAGAGGATTTGAACCTTGTAGCTAGCATGAGAAAACCAATCTCAACGACGGTACTCACATGCAAAAACAATTTCTACAAAGAAATCGCAACACAGAGGTTTTTTAAAGATTCCTCCAAAACTTGATACGGGTGTCTACCCTGAAAAACACATCTTCTCCATTTCATATAAAAATATAACTTCCCTTTCATAACGCTCGGACTTGATTTTATATAGCAGCAACGGACCCTCCTACCTTGACCCACAAGGTTACGACACTAATTCCTAATCCTATCTCTAGTCCTACATGGTTACATGCTTTATTTTTAGCATGCAATCTTTTACAACGTGTAATTAATTTTAAGCAAAACTGGACTCTATTTTGATGCGGCATTATTTCCTTGATTTGTTCTGGCGGACCCCACCAACTTCCTTTAGGTTGGTCATAACGGGCAAGAACATAGTCTAGTAACTTACACACTTTCCTAGACTATGTTACTACCTCCACAGTGGGTAGGAACATCTATGTAGTGTCATGCAACAATGTATTTATTAGGTTATAGACTCATTGTTTTTTGGAGTGTGTGATGTTCCGGTAACTTAGCTAGTTACCACAAGCACCTCTCTCTTTATTAAATATGTGACACATAAGCAAAGTTGTATTGGAGTGTGTGATGTTACTCCTAAGTTCCTCCCCATTGTGACCAGCCTTAAACATTGACCGCTCCACACGTTGCATGTCTTTGAGGTTGCCTGATATTTCTTGCATGGTAGGAATAAAAACATGAATCCTCCCTTACTCCTTTCTTTAACTCCTTCCATATCTCCAAGTAAATAGTCATAACTCAAAGTTGCATGGACCGAATAGATTTTTCCTTCTAGAAAGAAAACAGAATAGCATCCTAAGTTGGTTTCCATGTCATGTTTTTTTACCTTTATTTCTTGCATCATCTGGCCGCGAGCCTCTACATCTTTGACTTGTGGAAAGGCATTTGATCACTGAAAACATTAGCAGTACTCATGGCCATATCAACATACCTACACCACAGTCATTCGGTGCACCTTCACCACCCGGACCACCGCGATTTGACCCCGGTCATCTCCGTTGAGCCGTTTCCGAACCTTCTACGCTTCACCGCATCCCTGCATTTGCTTTCCGTCATCCGACCATGCCATCCCTTCAGTCGTGCAACCTTAAGGTGTTTGACGACTTACCCGGAGGTAATTTCCCCAACTTTATTCTTGTAGATTTGGTCTAGCAGTTCATAGATTTCAGATGGCATATGATTCATATTTTGTGTATATGTGTACGATGGTAGAGCTGTTTTTACAAACATATGGTTTCGTACAGACTTTTGGAGAAGCCTGTATTTACAAAAAAGTGAGTGGAAGCTCTATAGTATTTCTAATAATATGGATGACATATTGTTGATTGAAAATAATACATAATTTATGGATATCATAAAAGGATACTTGAATAAGAATTTTTCAATGAAAGACCTCGGTGCTGCTTATATATTGGGCATCAAGATCTATAGAGATAGATCAAGACGCTTAATTGGACTTTCACAAAGCACATACCTTAATAAAGTTTTGAAGAAGTTCAAAATGGACCAGTCAAAGAAAGGGTTCTTGCATGTGTTAGAAGGTGTGAAGTTGAGTCAGACTTAATGACCGACCACTGCAGAAGATAGAAAGAAAATGAAAGTCATTTTCTATGCTTCAGCCATAGGTTCTATCATGTATGCAATGCTGTGTATCAGGCCTGATGTGTGTCTTGCTATAAGTTTAGCACGGAGGTACCAAAGTAATCTGGGAGTGGATCACTGGACAACGGTCAAGAACATCCTGAAATACCTGAAAAGGACTAAGAATATGTTTCTCGTTTATGGAGGTGACAAACAACTTGTCGTAAATGGTTACGTCGATGCAAGCTTTGACACTGATCCGGATGACTCAAAGTCGCAAACCTGATACATATTTATATTGAATGGTGGAGCTGTAAGTTGGTGCAGTTCCAAGCAGAGCGTTGTGGCGGGATCTACGTGTGAAGCGGAGTACATAGCTGCTTCGGAAGTAGCAAATGAAGGAGTCTGGATGAATGGGTTCATATCCGATCTAGGTGTAATACCTAGTGCATCGGGTCCAATGAATTTTTTTGTGACAATACTGGAGCAATTGCCTTAGCGAAGGAATCCAGATTTCACAAGAGAACCAAACACATCAAGAGACGCTTCAATTCCATCCGCGATCAAGTCAAGGAGGGAGACATAGAGATTTGCAAAATACATACGGATCTGAATGTTGCAGACCCGTTGACTAAGCCTCTTCCACGAGCAAAGCATGATCAACACCAAGACTCCATGGGTGTTAGAATCATTACTATGTAATCTAGATTATTGACTCTAGTGCAAGTGGGAGACTGAAGGAAATATGCCCTAGAGGCAATAATAAAGTTGTTATTTATATTTCCTTATATCATGATAAATGTTTATTATTCATGCTAGAATTGTATTAACCGGAAACTTGATACATGTGTGAATACATAGGCAAAACACCGTGTCCCTAGTATGCCTCTACTTGACTAGCTCGTTAATCAAAGATGGTTAAGTTTCTTGACCATAGACATGTGTTGTCATTTGATGAACGGGGTCACATCATTAGGAGAATTATGTGATGGAAAAGACCCATCCGTTAGCTTAGCATAATGATCGTTAAGTTTTATTGCTATTGCTTTCTTCATGACTTACACATATTCCTGTGACTATGAGATTATGCAACTCCCGAATACCGGAGGAACACCTTGTGTGCTATCAAACTTCACAACGTAACTGGGTGATTATAAATATGCTCTACAGGTGTCTCTGAAGGTGTTTGTTGGGTTGGCATAGATCGAGATTAGGATTTGTCACTCCGAGTATCAGAGAGGTATCTCTGGGCCCTCTCGGTAATGCACATCATTATAAGCCTTGCAAGCAATGTGACTAATGAGTTAGTTGCGGGATGATGCATTACGGAACGAGTAAAGAGACTTGCCGGTAACGAGATTGAACTAGGTATGAGGATACCGACGGTCGAATCTCGGGCAAGTAACATACCGATGACAAAGGGAATAACGTATGTTGTTATTACAGTTTGACCGATAAAGATCTTCATAGAATATGTAGGAACCAATATAAGCATCCAGGTTCCGCTATTGGTTATTGATCGGAGATGTGTCTCGGTCATGTCTACATAGTTCTCGAACCCGTAGGGTCCGCAGGCTCAAGGTTCAATGATGATTTGTATTATGAGTTATGTGTTTTGGTGACCGAAGTTTGTTCAGAGTCCCGGATAAGATCACGGGCATGATGAGGAGTCTCAAAATGGTCGAGAGGTAAAGATTGATATATTGGACGATGATATTCGGACACCAGAATGGTTTCGGAAAGGTTCGGGTATATTTCGGAGTACCGAGGGGTTACCGGAACCCCCCGGGGAAGTATTGGGCCTACATGGGCCTTAGGGGAGAGAGAGGGGAGCCCGCATGGGGTGGCACACGCCCCCCTCCAAGGGATCCTAATAGGATAAGGATGAGGGTGCATGGTGTAACGCCCACGATGCGGCTATATCTCCCATGTGTCGAGGCACGACTTAGAGGCATAACCGCATTGTGGTTTTGTCGCAAGAAGGGTCATCTTCACACAATCCCATGTAATGAACAAGAAAGGGATAAATAGAGTTGGATTACAATCGCCACATCACACAATACTCAAATAAGTTCCTACATCATCAGAGTACACTCATAGTCCGACTATCACTACAAAAAAATACACTTCCGTGATGATACGTGATACGTCTCCAACGTATCTATAATTTTTGATTGCTCCATGCTATATTATCTACTGTTTTGGACTATATTGGGCTTTATTTTCCACTTTTATATTATTTTTGGGACTAACCTATTAACCGGAGGCCCAACCCAGAATTGTTGTTTTTTGCCTATTTCAGTGTTTCAAAGAAACAGAATATCAAACGGAATAAAATCTTCGGAAACGTGATTTTCTCATCAGATAAGACCCGGGAGACTTGGACCCCCCTGTCAACAAAGCCACGAGGTGGTCACGAGGGTAGGGGGCGCCCCCCCTAGGGCGCGTCCCTGCCTCGTGGGCCCCTCGGAGCTCCACCGACGTACTTCTTCCTCCTATATATATCCATGTACCCCCAAACGATTGGGGACGGAGCCAAAAACCTAATTCCACTGCCGCAACTTTCTGTATCCACGAGAT